AAACCTACAATATAGTAATCAATCTTATCTAAGCCCAATCTCACCTCATTCCCCAGGGTCAGATGCTTCCTTCTCAGTTGAATGAGGAACATACTGGTCAAAGACATCCTCATGAATACCTGTCAGAAATTCTTCCCTTTTCTTCCTCTTTATCATCCCAATTATAATTAAGGTTTCCCCTAGTATCACCACTCTACAGGTCTGAACTTCTATGACTTTGCTCAAGACTTACTCCTCTGTCTCTCTCAGGTTTGGAGATGTACAGAATAACATGATAGAACATAGAACATAGAACAGTAAGGCCCTTCGGCCCACAATGTTATGCCGAACTTTTATCCTAAACCTAAGGTCTATCTAACCTCCATCCCTACCTTATACTATCATCCATATGCCTATCTAATAGCCATTCAAATGCCCCTAATGAGGCCGACTCCACTACCGGCAATGCATTCCACGCCCCTACCACTCACTAAGTGAAGAACCTACCTCTGACGTCTCCCCTATATCTACCTCCACTCACTTTAAAACTATGCCCCCTCGTAATAGCTACCTCCACCCTAGGAAAAAGTCTCTGGCTGTCTACTCTATCGATACCTCTGATCATTTTGTACACCTCTATCAAGTCACCTCTCATCCTTCGTCGTTCTAAAGAGAAAAGCCCGAGCTCTCGCAACCTTTCCTCGTAAGACCTTTCCTCCATTCCAGGCAACATCCTGGTAAATCTCCTCTGCACCTTTTCCAACGCTTCTGCATCTTTCCTGTAATGAGGCGACCAGGACTGGGCACAATACTCCAGATGTGGCTGAACCGGGCTATTGTACAGCTGGAGCATAACTTCACGGCTCTTGAACTCACTCTCTCTATTAATGAAAGCTAACACACCATATGCCTTTTTAACAACTCTATCCACCTGGGTGGCAGCATTCAGGGAACTGTGGACATGAACCCCAAGATCCCTCTGCTCCTCCACACTGCCAAGAATCTTTCCGTTAACCCTGTATTCTGCTTTCAGGTTTGTCCTTCCAAAATGAATCACCTCACACTTTTCAGGGTTAAACTCTATCTGCCACTTCTCAGCCCAGCTCTGCATCCGATCAACGTCCCTTTGTAACCTAGAACAGCCTCCGCACTATCCACAACTCGACCCACCTTCGTATCGTCTGCCCTTCCACTCCTTCATCCAAATCATTTACAAAAATCACAAATAGAAGAGGACCCAGAACAGATCCTTGTGGTACACTTTTCATAACTGACAACCATGTTGAATATTTTCCGTCCACTACCACCCTTTGTCTTTGATTACCCACTTTTTGCTTCTCAACTCTAATCAAACAGATTCTGTCCTTACCTCAAAGAGGAGCTCTAATTGTATCATAATTCTGTATCAAATATCTGGAGTTGATACAATTTCAGTTGCAATTAACTCTCCTTCACTTATTCCACCATTACCTCTTTCCTGTCATCTTTGTTTTCTAGGTTTCTCATTCTGTATATCTCAGACACTCACTTCCTAGTTTTATTAGGTCTTTGTTATCTCCTTCTGGCATGTAGCCCATACATTATCATACAAAAAAAAGAACTGTGGATGCTGGAAATCAGAAGCAAAATCAAAAATTCAGGTCAGGCAGCATCTGTGGAAAAGACACAGAAACTTCGGTTCTGAAGAACGGTCAACAGACCCTAAAGATTAATCATAGAATCCCTACAGTGTGGAAACAGGCCCAACAAGTACACACCAGCCCTCTGAAGAGCATCCCACCCAGACTCACTCCCCTATCCCTACACTTCCCCATGTCTAAACCACCTAACCTAAACATCACTGGGCACTATGGATAATTTTACCATGTCCAATCCACCTACATCTTTGGACCTGGGAGGAAACCGGAGCACCCGGAGGAAACCCACACAGACACAGGGAGAACATGCAAACTCCACACAGACAGTCACCCGAGGCTGGAATTGAACCCAGGTCCTGGTGCTGTGAGGCAGCAGTGCTAACCACTGAGCCACCGTGCCGCCCATTCTCCACAGATGCTGCTGGACCTGCTGAGTTTTTCCAGCAATTCCTGATTTTGTTATGCGTTATCATCGTCTGCACATTAACCATCTCAGCTCTCATTACAGAGGCCCAGATCAGACCATCCGAAACCATACGTACTCCCAAAGATTCATATTAGGATTCCTTGGGCTTCCTAATGTGCAGAATCCACAGGAATTGCCAAGGAATTTTAAACTTCCAATAGGAAATTTCCAAGCTCACAAGACTGCCTGAATGAGAATAATCCGACTCATTTACCTAGATTGTTACCTAGGAAAAGATAGACAGATTAAACATATATAGATGATTTGGAGTTGGGGACCACGTGTAGGGTGTCAAAGTTTGCAGATGACACTAAGATGAGTGGCAAAGCAAAGTGTGCAGAGGACTGTGAAACTTTGCAGAGGAACATAGATACATTGAGTGAGTGGGCAATGGTCTGGCAGATGGAATACAATGTAAATAAATGTGAAGTCATACATTTTGGTAGGAGTAATAGTAAAAAGGATTATTACTTGAATGGTAAAAAGTTGCAGCATGCTGCTATGCAGAGGGACCTGGGTGTCCTTGTGCACGAATCACAGAAGGTAGGTCTGCAGGTACAACAAGTAATTAGGAAGGCAAATGGAATTTTGCCCTTCATTGCTAAAGGGATTGAAATAAAAAGCAGAGAGATTATGTTGCAGCTGTACAAGGTGCTGGTGAGGCCACATCTGGAGTACTGTGCGCGTTTTGGTCTCCTTACTTGAGAAAGGATGTATTGGCACTGGAGGGGGTGCAAAGGAGGTTCACTAGGTTGATTCCGGAGTTGAGGGGGTTGGCTTATGAGGAGAGACTGAGTAGATTGGGATTATATTCATTGGAATTCAGAAGATTGAGGGGGGATCTTATAGAAACATATAAAATTATGAAGGGAATAGATAAGATAGAAGTAGAGAGGATGTTTCCACTGGCAGGTGAAGCTAGGACAAGAGGGCATAGCCTCAAGATTAAAGGGAGCAGATTTAGGACTGAACTGAGAAGGAATTTCTTCACCCAGAGGGTTGTTAATCTATGGAATTCCTTGCCCAGTGAAGTAGTTGATGCTACTTCAGTAAATGTTTTTAAAGAAAAGGTAGATTTTTTTTGAACAATAAAGGAATTAAGGGATACGGTGAGAACGCGGATAAGTGGAGCTGAGTCTATGAAAGGATCAGCCATGATCTTATTGAATGGTGGAGCAGGCTGAAAGGGCCAGACGGCCTACTCCTGCTCCTAGTTCTTATGTTCTTATGTAAAATCATGTCGAACTCCTGAATAACTTCACAACTACCTCTCCACACTACCCATGCACCGCCCCTGCCCCATACCTACTGACTCCCCCTGAACTCTTCACATGCTCCCCACATAGTCACCAGCATCTTCAATCTCTGGGCATGCTCCAATCCCCAGGCACACAATAATTCTGACTCGGCATCATCACCTGAACCATTTACCACACACATTCACAAATGCGTGCAAAGACTATATTATTGACCCAAAGATTTTCAGCGAGTGTGATTAGCCCTTTTGGCAATAACCAGCAGGATATTCAACAGGGTGATGGCCCTGGAGAGACAGAGTTCTCTCATCACTTCAACAATTAAGTGTTGGGTGAGAAGGTCCATGGATGACCTTCTTGACTCATTGCACAATTAAGTTCTTTAAGTGCTAATGAACTGCCCTTTAGGGCATTAACTCATCACCAGCTCGATTATCAGCTTTCCCAATGAGAAGAATGGCTAGTTTCCCAACTGGGTGACTGGTGCAACGTACCTGCTAGATTGTTGTGTGTCTCCATTTGCCCCAACCGAGCATCGATTTGGCGGTGGCAGGGAGGGCGACAACGGAGCAGGTGTTGAATTTTACCCTCTTTCACTTCCTCCTGTCTCTCTCTCCCAAGACCCCCACCCTGTGAAACCCAAAAGAAAATGGCTTACCTTCCTGATACTGGATCCCATGAAGACTAGGCCTCCAGGATCCTGTGTTTAGCCAGCAGCTTCTGGTGAAATGGGACTTCAGCATCCAGGCCCATGATTCACAGAGAAGCTCACTAGTCAGCTTTGAACCACCCAATTCGAGGTTGACCCAATGAGCTCTCTCATTCACTGAGATGAGCAATCAGTTACCACTGAAGACACTTGCATCCAAGCGTAGTGCTTGGAGCACCAATTCTCAGCCAGCGTGTTTGTGAACAATGACTTACCGGAATACTGCAGCCAGTGCGGCTTGGCTTCCCCCAATGATCTTGTGCTATGAAAAACCCTGACATCAGGCACGCTCCATATTTCTGAACAGGCCAGGTATGGACATCCCAGCCAGAAATGCACAGCCTGGTTTTTGTGTTTCTGCTATTTTAGAGCCTCCTATCATCTCACCTAATAACATGTCCTTCTGTTCTCTTCTCCCATACATACGCGTTTAGCTTCCCCTTAATGAGTGAGGCAGGAAGAGAACATTCACCAGATAACCCAGTTGAATTTCACATATCCCCTCACAGTCACTTTCAAAGAACGGAGAATGCTAATGTATTATCCACCCAGGCTCTCAGACAGGACAGAACAAGACCTTTCAGTTCACTTCTTTAAGCTTTACAGGAGCTTCCTCCCTTGCCTCCTTATTTAACTCAATCATGACATCCTTCTCCTCTTTTCACCTTCATAAATGTTATCGAGCTCCAGTCCTCATGAAAGACATGAAAACTATCTGCCTACACTACTCCTTAAGATAGCAAGTTCCACATTCTCATCACTCTCTTTAGATTAATGAGTGGGAGGATACCAAAACTCTGAAGATCTTAACACGCCCTTTAGAAAAATAGTCTACCATGAATGACAGGGATAGTTTACAAAGTGGAACAGCCATTAAAAAAAATACACTCAACTCCTGAATTCCTAAAAGCATGCTGACTAAGAGTAACTAACATCAGCTGAGCAAAGCTTACCTGGGGTAGATTCCACTGACCAGGTCACCTTCAAGTACAGGATCAACTGTTTTGCCAGGTCCAGCTGCTTTTGACATCAATAAAACAACAAGACCTCGCAGCTGAAGATTGTTTCTGCTGTCGTAGACAAATCCCCTATAGAATCAAAACATGATATTAACTGGGGAATCAAGTGACAAGTTCCATACCTTCCTGCTTTTCATTTTCACTACAACTGTTTGCATAATGAAACGCTAGTTATTTTGGTATCAGGTTGATCAAAACTTTGCAGATCTTAAGGTAGCCAGTTAAATATATACAGCTGTATTTATTACATTTATTCATTTTATATATTTCATTGTGTTTGGTGCAATAATGGCATATTTACCAGGTGATTGTGAAAAAGTTACATCCTCACTACCCTAAAAAATGATTGAATGACTGCAGTGTGGCAGGTGAAATTCTGCCTAACATGCATTATTTACAACATAATGTGTACAAAGTGATCAGAGTTATAGATAGAGTGGACAGCCAGAGACTTTTTCCTCGGGTGGAGGTAGCTATTACGAGGAGGCATAGATTTAAAGTGAGTGGAGGTAGATATAGGGGAGACATCAGAGGTAGGTTCTTTACTCATGGTTGGGGCATGGAATGCATTGCCGGAGAGGGTAGTGGAGTCGGCCTCATTAGGGGCATTTAAGCGGCTATTACATAGGCATATGGATGATAGTATAAGGTAGGGGTGGAGGTTAGATAGACCTTAGTTTTAGGGTAAAAGTTCGGCACGACATTCTGGGCCGAAGGCCCTGTACTGTGCTGTACTGTTCTATGTTCTATAAGTGTTTGCAGGCATCTTAGTTTATCTTTATGTATATCTATGCATCTAGACGGCTCTTGCGGTGCAGTGGTAGTGTCCCTACCCCTAGACCGAGAGACCGAGGTTCAAGTCCCACCTGCTCCAGAGGTGTGTAATATCAACTGTGAACAGGCTGATTAGGAGAAATAGGTCAAAAAGAATACAGTAGTCAGGGACAGAAAAAGATAACAAAAATGCAATTCTGCAAATGCTGTATCACTAGTCAAGTCAGGAGGAAAGATGATGAATATAATCTCAAGTAATCAAAAACATTATTGAGGATATGTCTACTCTAGGAGAAACTTACAAGTTAGATGCTCATTTCCTTAAATTTGGCTCTCACTATAATAATCTAGCTCAATGGATGGAGGAGGTCTGTTTATTTGATATTTACAAGTAAGGATTGAACTAATTTTGCTTTCAGTATGCTATACAATTTCTGACCATTTTGTTACAAATTTGTGCTTAGTACACTAATCAAAAGTAATGGATAGAATTTGTTATCTATGACATTTGTTTTGATGAGATTATTTTAAGCACATTCTGTTTATTTGATAATGGTTATAGCCAAGACAAAACCATTTCAAAAGTAGTCAAAAGTGTGGATTTTAACGGATTTGTTTTCATTCCTTTGGGCCTGCACCACCTTTCAATATGATCATGACTGCTCAAACAGTTTCAGTACCCCATTCCTGCCTTCCCTCCACACCCTTTGATTCCTTTAGCAGCAATGGCCATGTCCAGCTCCTTCTTGAATACATCTAAGAAACTGGCCCCAACAGCTTCCTGTGGGAGAGAATTCCACAAGTTCACAATTCTCTGAGTGAAGAAATTCTTCCTCATCTCAGTTCTGAATGGCCTACCCCTTACTCTTAGACTGGCGACCCCTAGTTCTGGACTTTGCCAAAATCAGCAACATTCTTCCTGCATTTAGCCTATTCGGTCCCATCAGGATTTTATATGTTTCCATGAGATCCGCCCCTCATTCTTCTAAATTTCAACGAATACAGCCCAGTCAATCCAGCTTTTTCTCATATGTCAGTCCTGCCATCCTGGGACTCAGTCCGGTGAACATTCACTGGACTCCCTCAATAGCAATAATGTCCTTCCTCAGACCAGGAGAACAAAACTGCACACAATACTCAGGGTGCAACCTCACCAAAGTACTGTATAACTGCAGCAAGACATCCCTACTCCTATACTCAAATTCTCTCGTTATGAAGGCCAACATGCCATTAGTTTTCCTCAGTGCCTGTTACACCTGCATGCCAACTTGCAGCAACTGTCCCCCATGACATTGCACTTCACCTTTTCCTAAACTACCGCCATTCAGGTAATAATCTGCCTTCCTATTTTTGCAACCAAAGTGGATAGCCTCACATTTATCCACATTATATTGCATTTGCCCACTCAGCCAGCCTATCCAAGTCACCCTGCAGTCTCTTAGCATTCTCCTCACAGCACACACTGTCACCCAGCTCAGTGTCATCTGCAAATCTGGAGATATTGCATTCAACTCCTTTGCCCAAATTGTTAATGTATATTGTGAACAGCTGGCATCGCAGCACTGAACCCTGTGGCACCCCACTCATCACTGCCTGCCATTCTGAAAAGGACCTGTTTATTCCAACTCTCTGCTTCCTGTCTGCCAACCAGTTCTCTATCCATGTCAATACCTTACCTCCAATACCATGGGATTTAATCTTCCTCACTAACCTCTTGCGTGGAACCTTGTCAAAAGCCTTTTGGGAGCCCAGATACACAATACCTACTGATTCACCCTTGTCCGCTCTACTGGTCACGTCCTCAAAAAATTCCAAAAGACTTATCGAGCATGATTTCCCTTTAGTGAATCCATGCTGTCTCGAACTGATTCTGTCACCACTTTCCAAATGCTCAGTTATTGCATCCTTAATAATTGACTCCAGCATTTTCGTGACAGAGTTATTCAAAATAAAGAGGTATCATGACAGAATAAATAGGGAGAAACTGTTATCAGCAATGAAAAACATACGAGGAGTGTCCATGGATGTGTAGACTATGTGGGTTAGAAGGATGGGGCAGATGGTTCTGGGTGGGACTCTCTTCAGAGGGTCAGTGCAAACTCGATGGATCAAATGGCCTCTAACTGCACTGTAAGGATTCTATAATTCATCAAACATATTAGAGGTGAGGTGAAAATGACTGCCGTTGACATCAAAGCTGCATTTGTCCCATTGTGGCATCAAGGAACTCCAGCAAACCTGGAGTCAATGGGAATCAAGGGAAAACTCTCCATTGTCTGAAATCTTATCTTGCATAAAGAATGATGGGTGCGGTTATTGGAGGGAAGCCTTCCCAGCTCCATGGCATGTCCGCAGGAGTTCCTCAGGTTAGTTTCCTAGGCCCAACCATCTTCATCTGCTTCACCAATAACCTTTCTTCATATAAGACTGATGTGGGGAGTTCACTGATGACCACATAATGATCAAAACTATCCGTAACTCCTCAGATATCGAAGCAGTCCATTTCCAAATTCAACAAGACCTGGACAATATCCAGGTTTGGGTAGGCAAGTGGCAAGGAACATTAGCACCACTCCAACAAGAGAAAATCTAACTTCATACCTTGACATTCAGTAGAATTACTATCAATATCCTGGGGTTACCACTGATTAAATATTAAATTAAACTTGCCATATGAGTACTGCGACTACAAGAACAGATAAGAGGCTAAGATTACCACAGAGAGCAATTCACCTTCTGACTCTCCAAAACCTGTCTTCATCTCATTGGCACAAATCAGGAACAAGATGGAATAGACTCCATTTGCCTGGATGAGTGCAGCTCCAACAACACCGAAGAAGGTTTATAACACCCAGGACAAAGCAATGTCCTGCTTGTATGGCACCATATCTAAAAACATCCACTCCCTTCGCTACTGATGCTCAGTGGCAGTAGTGCGTATAATCTACAAGATGCACTGCAGAAATTTACCAAGTCTCCTTGGACAGCACCTTCCAAAGCCACAGTTACAACGATCTAGAAGGAAAGGGCAGCAAATACATGGCAAGATCGCAACCTGTAAATACCCCTCCAAGTCACTCACCATCCTGACTCGGCAATATATCAACCTTCCTTCACTGTCACTCGCTCAAAATTCTGCAACTCCCTCTTTAACAGCATTGTGTGTTTACCTACGCCAAATGAACTGCAGGTTCAAGAAAGCAACTCACCATGACCTGCTTACGGACATCTAATGGTTAGGACAAGAAATATTCATACAGCCAATCAAGCCCACATCCCACAGATGAATTTAAAAATAAAGCCTGCTTCCTGGTAGACACGGCAACAAACATGAAAGGATTGAGACTATGAGGGCATAGATTTAAAATAATTGGCAAAAGTAGTAAAAGCTACATGACAAAAAGTCTTTTGCCATGCATTAAGTTTTCTTTAAAATTTGTTCATACTACCCATCTCTAATTGTCCCCCGATCTGACTGGCCTGCCAGGCCATTTCAGAGGGCAGTAAGGAGTCAATTGCATTGCTGAGAGTCTGGAGTCACATGCAGGCCAAACCAGTTAAGGATGGCAGATTTCCTTCTCTAAAGGACATTAGTGAACTAGACGGTTTGTGCAACTATCACAATGATTTCATGATCGTCACTGGGCTAACTTTTAATTCCAGATTTTTAATTAAATGTAAATTTCACCATCTATGCTAGCTCAGTGACATTACCCCCATGCCACTGCCTCCCAAGCCGAGGACAGCAGATGCATGTGAAAACCATCATTTGTAAGTTCCTCTGAAAGCTACACATCCAGACTTGGAACTACATCATCATTCCTTTGCCATTGCTCTTTCTTACCATCATTGTGGTGTATTGACCACCGTGGACTACAGCATTTCAAGATGCAGCTCACCACCAACTCTTCAAGGGCAATTAAAGATGAACAATAAACGCTAACCCAGCCACTGACACTCATATTCAGTGAAAGAATTTTAAAAATTGGGCTGAAAGTCAGGGCTTTTGGACACACTGCTTTAAATGAAGGTGTCTAAGCATTCTGCGTCACACAATGTAAGGCGCATTGGTGGACAGAATCCCCCAGCAACAAGTAGGAGACAAGACAAAAATATCCAGAGATATTCATACAAAAAGCATATTAAAAACAAAATATTGGCTAATCCTCTATAGCAAGTCATGCACTGCAAAATTGGTCATATAAAGTGGTCAGTCTCTAGCAATTATGTCGAGAACATCTGTTTAGCCACAAATTTTTAACTTCAAATACATTCAGATTTTTAACTTCACCTAC